ACCAATTCATATAAACGAACTAGGAAATATTATAATATTATAGATCCTTTGAATTAATTATTTTCAATCAGAACAAAATATTTGGATATCGTCGTAATATTGATCGTAAGTGTTATTGCATATCTATGAATTTAATTTTAATTTTTAATCTGTAAAACTTTTCACACTTTTCAAAATTTAAACATTTATAATCTAGACGACTAGACCACAGTGACATTTTAATATGATTAACGATCTATTTACATTAGTCAGGCACCCTTATCAAAATTTGAACTTCTACACTACTTTTTACTTGAGTTAATCTATATTTCCAAATATGATACCATATTAATATGTAATTGAAGAAAAATAAATTATACTTAGGTAGGGCTCTAAAATGTTATTAAATTCATTTTTTGAAATATTTCACAAAACTTTGATGAAAAATAAAAAATAAAATTTATTTTAAAACAGTTTTAAATAGTAGGAACATTAGGAACTAGGAAGTAGAGTAAACAACATTTTATAGAAATATTGCTTAGTTCCAGTGGCGTAGCCAGGATTATGAAAGGGTTGGGGGAAAGTTAAACACCCAAACCTCGTAGATTATACAAATTACATAATAATTATCTACCTTATGGCTTATATATTATAATATCTTCTCTACATCGTGATCGGGAATTTAATATTGATAATCAGCAATCACTATTCAGGTATGAATTCAATCTAAACATCTAGTGTTGCATTTATGAAACATTTCCAAGAAAGTAGAAACACAAAATTAATGAAATGGATTTTCAATATTTCATTATTATATTTCTTGTGAAATATTTCATACTCAAAACCCTAATTCCCCAAATTTATACCATAAAATATAATTTGAAATGTGAATTTTATAAATATTTACTAATAAGTAATAACTAATACAAAATTACAATATTTTAATTAATACAATTTTTCTTTAAACATTTTCGACGTAGTAGTTTCTATTTTTCTATTTTTGTGTTTTTATCGAAAAACGTTTTTATATTTTGTTTCGTTTTATAGGTTTTGAACAATTTAGTGTTATTACTTATTAAGTTATTTGTATTTCTTTTCTATGTGTTGTTGATCAACTATTCAAGGTCTTCCCTTAAATCTGATATAAAATTATAAGAAATCTTCATTGAAAATTCAACTTTCTTGCATGTTAATCTTTGAATTTTGATGATCACACGTAATATTTTATAAAATATGATTATAAATTTAAAAAAAATCGTATTTATATTCAAATTTAGTTTATATAATAATGTGGGCACCCTAATTAGCTGGACCTCAAACTGTGAGTCCAAAGACCGGTAGGGGTTCAGGAGGTAACAGTAGTTGTTGGAATAAAATAAAATAATTAATTATTATCCAATGTTCAAGTATTATATTTTCATACCGTTGACATGCATAATATTTTATTTAACATAGTAACGAAATTGGAAGGTTGGTACCAAGTATCTGGGTAGCCTTAAGACATGTAAGCACTATAATACAATATTATGATATAATTTTTAGCTGTAGACTGTAATTTTATAAATTGCGTAACCATATGAAATCTGAATGTTATGATATAGTTTAAAAGATATATTTTATTACAATATAGATTTGCTTAAATAAACTAATTCTATCGTACTGTTGGTCATTATTTCGGTAATAAATAAAAAAAAAATACCGAAATGGAATATGAATTCAGAATTAATCACATTTTCAATATTGTTACACCTATTATATTATGTAGGTATTCAAATGTATTGTATTTTAATATTTAACGTGTCTGCATTTTAAACGACTACATAATATAGCATAATAAATAATTAAACTTGTTTGCGCACAGATTCGTGTTACTTTCGTGTTGCACATTATGATTCGACAATGCGTAATCGAATCTTATGTCGTTACAACTATTGATTTGATTGGCTGCAAACTATAATTTTATTAAAAATATACCGATTTTAAAGATTCAAGTTGAGGTGCTATGGTGAAAATTTAAAATCTATAGGATAATATGTATTTTTAAAACATTTCTTGTCTTATTTATTAAACTGTTGAACAAAACTGCTTCAGTTAATATTATAATATTCGACTATTTTAACGCACGTGGGTTTTCTATAAATTTGATCATCAATGTATTAACAATTAGTCTGCAAGTCAAGATGAAATGTCGAAATATTACGAAGATGCCCTATCGACGAATCGGTGGTAGGTAATGTTTCAACTTTCAATTGGGTTTATTTAAATTTGTATTCCACGCATGCACTAGTTGGAGTCCATTATATTAAATAATAATAAATATTATCTATAGATACACAACAACGCTGTCTTCAGATGTATTTTCACGTATGCTGTTGGTTCGAAATTAAGTTTTCAACCATCGTGTGTTTACGAATATTATCGTCGTCTGTTGGTCAAAGTGGGCAAACAAATCGAAGTACAAAATATTATACTAGTCCAAAAAACGATAGTCTCCGTACGAAACGACGACGAAGCGTATACCTTTACCTACGTAATAGAAATCGCTTCGTACGAGCTCAGCGAACGAACCGTTCTTAAAAAAAAAACAGAGACAGTGGACAGGCTGGAGAGAGTGAGAGAGAGAGATTCCGACGATTTACGATCGTCGCGACGTTCTCAGATCGTCCATTGAGGAAACGTTTCGAACGAATCGCGCCGTCGGCGATGTATCTACAAGTTGCAACCAGTGGAGTGCTACACAATTTTTCAACTCGAAACAAACCAAAATATAGATTTACAGTACTTTTTAAGGGGAAAATTAAACACGTTATATTTTTTATACATTTAACTTTAACGTTTATCACACGAGAACACGACCGTACTCAATTTATGTAGCTTAAAAGTACACTACCGGGTTTGAACCATCGAGTCAGACAGGTCTATTTGGAATTTAACCAAACTACTTCATCAAATTCGATTGCCTGATTATTTTCATCGTAACCTCTTTTTAATGGTTTGCAAAGATACATGTTTATTTCGGGCTGGAGAAATACACCTGAGTCAGACTGCGTTCGAAAACTGCGGTATGGGGGTATCTACTATCTTGTATATTTAAGACCGTCAGGAGTGGGCCCCGACTGGTAGAGGAAATGTGTAACGGGTCGATTCAGTGCAGTGGCGTATTTACGGGGGGGGGGTCCCCGGGTCTGGACCCCCCCCAGAAAAAAATATAATATAATATAATTATTACATCGTAACTCGTATGTGTTTTTTTTATATTATAAACTTGTAGGTACCTAATATTTAGACCCCCCCCAGAAAAAAATTCAAAATACGCCACTGATTCAGTGTATGAAGAAAATTGAGGTTGGTCTGGCTTGCCAAAACCCTTGATCTAAAACCGATGGTGTAGTGGGCCACCTTCAAGCTTAGGGCAGTCATCAAGAAGAAACCTTCATCGACACCACGCACGCCACTGCCTACAAGTTACAACGGACCACGCGTTACTTATTATAACGTGTCGAAAATATAATATTATTATGTAATAATATCATAGACGGACGTGAAAATCCGCCGAAACATAATATTTCCGGTAAGAACGGGACCGCCGCCGCGGATATCGTTATATCGTTATTTATTATCTGTTGGCGCGGCCACACGTCGTCCCCCCGACGACACGGTTATCGTTCCGTATGCACGCGCGGTGGTGTGGCGCTGCCGACCGGATTTCACGGGAGCGCGGCAACGCGGCGGGGCCGACCGGCAATCTGATCCGCCGACGGCCCGTCGAATTCTTTCGGTACGTCAGACTGCCGAGTCTTCGCGTCCCGAACCAGTTGCCGCCGCCGCCGGGGCATCGCGTTTTCTCCGCATCGCCGGCCGCCGCGTTCTTCGACGACGTTACCAGGTTACCGTGTACTTGGGTACCGCCGTCACCGACGTGATTTTTGTTCTAGCCAAACGGTCGCCCAAAGGCCGTGGGTCGTGTGACGTCTGGCCGGCTCCGGTTGGCCGTCGGGGCCATTTTCTTGGCGTCGACGGCGGCCAAAACGTGCGGCCGTCATGCGGTGTTGTGTCGAACGGCGCGCGGTGTGGTGGCGGCTGCGACGACTCGTCAGTCTCACGTATTTTGTCGCCAACACGGCTGGATGGTCCGTGCCGACGAGGCGCACACACCGCGGCGGCGGCGAGTCAAGAATCGGTTGTCGTCCGGCGGGGATGGGTGGACGGAGGTGGAGGGACGGGTGGACGGCGGTGGTGGTGGCGACGACCGTTTGGCTTGTGGCTCGGCGAGCGGGCGGTCGGGGGGGTGACTTGTGTGAATGCAACGCCGCACACGCACATGCGCGCACGCACGCACACGCACGGTACGGCGAGCGCGCGCACGCACACAGACAGCTTGGCACTGATTTTTGTACCAGCAAGCGCCACCGCGTCTACTACAACACACTACTCGAAAAACCTACAACGCTGCTGCTGCTCCTGCCGCTGGTGTTGCTGCTGCTGCTGTTGTTGCCGCCGCACACTCGCTCACTCACTCACTCACACGCACGCAGTCCGTAGCGTCGGCCAGACTCTCTTGCTTATTATTTGTTTGTTTGTTTTTTCGTTTTTAATACTATTATTTATTATTATTATTTATATTTAACGTAATTATAATAATAATGATGATAATAATAACAACAACAACAGTATAAGACCGCTCTGTTTTATCGTTTTTTATTTTCTGTTTTCGTACGTCGTCGTCGCTCGCCGCCGCGTTAATCGTGTGATGTTTCGGTCGATATATAATAATATTATAGTATAATATTGTTATTATATTTTATATAAATTATATTTATTGTATTCCGATTGTTGTAAATCGAATACGGTACACGCGTTTTTGTTATTTCTACATAATAATAATATAGACTATATTGAAATACTACTGCGTTTTGTTCACACTGCTAAAACCGTCGCGGTTGCGTTGTAATTCGCATCAAAATATTGTATTTTTATAATACCGTTTCGTAACGTGTAACGTCGCTGTGTTCACCGACAAGATGGCCCACGGCGCTCCGGACGAACCCGTCGGCAAGGTGGAAGAGAAGCGCCCCAAGGCGCCAGTCGGATCCAGAAGGATATTTCCGCCACAGTTCAAGTTGCAGGTAAATATTGTTTTTTATAAAATATAATTATAGCATAATCGGTCCATTATTCATATTTCGTTATCACTCGCAACATTATTATTTCACACGTTCTACGGTTCGGACCCCCCTCCCCCTCCCCCCACTCTTCCGCTCCCGCACACTCATCCGTCCGGTCATCGCCGATTAGGACCGTTCGATTTCACCGGATTTTACTCGCTCACGCCACCGCCGCCGTCATTTGGGTTCCGTGCCAAAACGAAATAAAAATACGACGCCGCACTCGTCCGTCGGCGTTAACGTCGTCCATCCCGTCCATCAGCCTCGTCCTGTCCGCAGCGGTCTGTCTCCGCATGAGGCGCCTTTGTTGCCGCGCAAAATCTTAACCGTCGACCAAAACTCACTCGTCTTAACTGCAACTGCTGCTTGCACAAAGCATATTATGCCCGTTCGCTTCTATCGGTGTGTTGAAATACCACTCGAATTCTGTCATCCTTCTTTATTTTTTATTAATTTTATTGATTTTGTGTTTACATAGGTGTTGGATTCATATCGTCAAGACTCCGATTGCCAAGGGAACCAGCGAGCAACGGCCCGCAAGTACGGTATTCACCGCCGTCAGATACAGAAATGGTTGCAGACAGAGAACAGCCTGCGGTTGGCTGTGCAACAAGCTTCTGGCGCTCCAAAACCCCCGAAAATTGCTGCTTCTTCTGCTGCTGTAACAGCGGTCGCTATTGCTGCAGCCATTGTAGATACTACATCGGGTTCGGACAGCGATGTTAATGTCGAAGACTTATCCGACACCGAAGACTCAGCTCTTGATTTGTCTACTACTTGCTTAGATCTCACTAAGCGCAAACGCGAAGAAGAGGATCTCGATCCGAGCAAGAGGCGACCTTTGGTTCCAGTCACGCCTACTGAACGACCCTTATATGTCAGCCCTATCAGATATCCCTACGTTGATTATCCGATGTTCTACTGTTGGCCGCCGTGTTGTTACAGGCCACCGTGCTATGTAGAGCGACCTGTACCCCAAAGACTGACTTGTTCGTTGGATTTGAAGGTGTGCACTTATGAACAAAAGGAACCTTCTCTTTTGGACATATCGTACCCTCAACATTGGAACAAACAGGACTACAGGTTTCCAAGTTCAGTATAAATACCTATGTGTTCGCATGGGTTACGCTTGTTATTCTTGCACTGTAAGTATCGATAAATATGAAGAAATTTTCAGATGATCTTTGTAATTGTTTGAATTGAATTGAAAGAAAAGATATTTGAAGTGTTATTTAATATTAGTACCATTATATTGAAATTTTTAGTTTAACATCAATGTCTTTGATACCATGGTACAGGGAATTGAAATTTATATAAATGGTTGGAAAAGAAATAAATGTATTTATGTTTTTATATATTATATTATGATTTATGAATATGATTCTATTTTTTTTTTCAATTCAATTTATGAGAATTATATATAAAAATGACACTAAAATATTGTACAGATTCACTCTGTATTGTAGTATGTTCTTTAAATTGTTAAGGAATATTAAACCATATCAATTAAGAATGTATTGTTTGAACTTTAGAACACTTAAGATATGTATTTTAACTACTTAAATAGTATATAGGATTGGAGCAAAAAGTTATTTATTAACCATATAAAACTTTGCAATAAACCATTTTCAAAAGACTTGATACTATAAATTATTTTAAATTATTAAAGATACATTCATTAAAAATTTGATTTTTTTAATATATATTACAACTTATATAATTATTCTAAAAAAAAATTGAAATGTAATAGGTATATATAAAAAAATATAATTATAATAACATGTTAAGATTTATTTGTTAGAGTTCCTATATTAAGGCTAGATGTATCAAATAAAGCTTTTGAATTCATTTGAAATGGCTCAATGGAGCAATTAAAATATGTGCCAAAAAATTAAGTTCAAAAATATTGCTCAAAATTTGTTTGTCTTCCGTAAACTACAATTTTTTTTTTTTTTTTTTGGTGCTGTCAGGTTTTTCTGTATTACGTGCCTTATAATAATTTATCATAATAATATGTTGTCAATAAAAAAATATATATATATGAAGTCTCCTATAAGGACCGACTTCTTGCTCAATTGAACCTTGACTAATATTTATATATTATGAATAAGATTATATACTATACAAATACTATAATTTATTTTGTAAATGTTAATTTGTAGATGTATTTGCATTATGTGTATATTTTTATAAAAGGAAAACAATGTTTTATAAAGTAACAATTATTTTAAATGAAATTTAATCTTATATATACGAATTGTTATTGTTTTAAACGTATTATTGAAATTTCAAAAAATTTAGGTTATGTAACTTATTATAAAAATATTTTCTGTTTACATATTATGTGAAAAAAATTAAATATTATTTGATACCGTAATTTATATGATTATTTTGTTATTAAATATTTTATGAAATATCTATAATTATGTCAAATAAAAATCATTTAAGCTTTTTTTATATTATGATTGTGTTTTGTTCTTCATTTTGATCTAACATGTTGTAACTTCTTGATCCAAAATTCATTTGTTTTTTCTAAAAAAGTCTATCATTGTTCCATGTTGAATGTTGATATCTACGGTTGCCCGAATCGGGTTGCATACTTAAGTATTTGATACTCCTTCAAAGCCTAATTAAATAATAAGGTTTTAGTTGACAAATGTTTATTGAACCGCTGCCAGCATAGGGGGCAAGATTATTTAGTTAATTAGTTGATTATCGGTTGTGTGGATATAATATGGTATTGACCACGGTATCCGATAACTTTTTAATTAATATACATATGAGGCATGCGGCCATGGGGGTGCAACTGCTCTTCTGGTCAAGGCCTGCTAGTAAACAGGATGTGAAGTGGCAAAATAAAAATTAATGGTTCATCCGTAGTAGTGTATTACCTAGTGCTATTATTACTACTACCTATAGTCTAAGCCAGTGTTGGGTAAGTTACTTTACTCGTTACTAAGAGATAAATGTAATTAAGTTACTTAACTCATTACTCAAATAAAATTCTAATGAAATTACTTTACTTTTCAAATAGAAAAGTAACACATTACTTTCTCGTTACAAAAAAGAAATTTTAAATTTCTTGGCAATTGTTTTCTGATTGCAATTAACTGTTCTCTTGATTTAGGTGCAATTGGACATTTCAAATGTCAAAACCATTGAAAAATGAATTGTGGAGAGTTAAGATTAAATATATATACATATTAGATTGGTGGACATAATAATACCAGCTTTATAAGTATATTTTTTTTTAAATTCGCTATAGGTAGGTTGGTAGTTGGTACTTAAAAATTTGAAACTGTAAGGCGTTATTTTATAGAAATTACTTTTCAAAAGTAATTTCCATTACATTTTCGTTACTTGGAAATAATTTTAATGGAATTACGTAATGCGTTACAAGCAAAGTAACGCCGTTACAGTAATGCGTTACTTTCGTTACGTTACTACCCAACACTGAGTCTAACACAATTTTGTTTAACCAATGTCATTTTTTCGATTATGCATTTACAATATATTTTAATTTCATAGTATTTTGTCAAGTGCTGCTTACAAGCACCTGTGTAATTTATTATTTTAACCTAACCCAACGAGGGTTACAAATTGAATGGTCCTTTTCGAAAAGGACTTATTGAGGGGCTATCCCTCCGATGGACCTATGTGTTAAAGTTTTCTATTAAATGTGTAAAAATGTTAAAAAAAAAATAGGCCTTAATATAATAATATGGCACTAAACGGCCAGTTTGCATTATCCAGTGGCGTATTTAGGGGTGGGGGGGGTGAGTCCAGTGGTACTTCTCTCCCAGACCACACTGTAGCAATCGTTGGTTTCTTGTTTTTTCGTACATTTTATTATTCAATGTATTATTTGGCGAGACGCATTGCCTTATCGACACACATTTCGTCGTTATCTTAACGACGTCCACGTGCGGTGCACTTATGTCGTCGTGGTTTATTTTACAGTAGATAGGTAATAATATAATATTTTGCAGTACCTAATACGATTTTTATTTTTAGTGTTTTTTATACACGGCGCTCTATACGTACGGGAGAAAGCCTGTATCATATGTTTTTATAAATACCTATAGAAGAATTTTGTGTCGATTAGTGTTGTGCATTCAAATAACATGGAGATTACATTTACAAGATGTCTTACAAAATATGTGTCGTGTATACTGCATTGTATCAACTAGTTAAACGATGACTAAAAAAAAGATGAGTGTCTGAAAATCTGAACGCAGAGGCTAGAATATAATTTTTGTACTACACACTTTATATCAAACTTGGAGTTACCGTGGGGGGCTTTGCTCCCCCCCAGCTCCTCCAAAAAAAGTGTATTTAATCCATACACACAAACGGTAATCGAAAAAAAAATCCCCCGGAAAAAAAATCCCCGACCCCAGGAAAAAAAATCCCCAGCTACAATATTACTGACAATCACATGCAAATGGTTGAACAAATATATTTTGAACGTTAATTAATATCTATAATTAATATATTAATAATGACAAATACGTATATTATATTCTATTATATTGTTAAAAAAATTATAAAAATATTTATAATGATCGATACGTCAATTAATAATACAGTTAAAAACATAGTATACAAAAATATTATACAAAATATAGGTACCTACCTAATACCTATATATTTTATGTAGGTATAATTCTGTAAAAATTGAATTCCCGAAATAAAATATTGCGTTTTCTGTGACATTTTGACGATAAGCGGTTTAGTGTGTACCTTTGATAATATATAATATAAGGTAAAGTTAGTTATTTAATTTGAATTACACATAATATATTATCGTAATTTAAAACAAAATATTATTTATGATACCTTTATAATTTTTTTAACAATATAATATAAAATAATACACGTATTTGTAATTAAATATTAATTATAGATACTAATTAACGTTTAAAAAATATCTGTTCAACCATTTGCAAGAGGTTGTGAGTAATATTGTAGTCTGGCGATTTTTTTTCCTAGGGTCGGGGATTTTTATTCCGGGATTCCACACAAACGTAGTAGTCAATTTTTAATTTTTATTTATCTACAGAGTACAGACTACATCACAATAATACGATTTATGTCTGTATATTGCGGTAAGATTATTAATTAGGTTAGATACATAATTTTACAGTAAATACACTGAATATACAGAGAATGAATTGCGAAATAAAAACCGCAGGAAAAAATTCCTCGATTCTAGGAAAAATGATCCCCAGACTACAATAATATCACTCACAATCACATAAATTTGATTGATCAAATGTTTTTTAAAAGCTAATTAGTGTAATTACCACATTGTTAATATTTAATTACAAACTTTGTGCGTATACTAGGAAATACTTATCATTAAAAAAATGTATATAATATAATAAATAGTTTTCAAACATTAACAATAATATTATTTTATTTTATAGCACGACTTTAAACCACATACCTGTGTTAATGGTTCTTTTAAAATAATAGGTAATCATTAACTACTATTGTTTGATAATTATTATTTAACGTATCGATCATTCGAAATATTTTTATTTAAAAATATTAAAAATATCTTATCTATAAGTAAAACTTGTAAAAATGACTGCTAATAATAATAATTATGATTATTAATATTTAAAATTACTATCTATCTATTTCCCACTGTGACATCAAATAATTTTAGATTCTGAGTGAAACGATGAATGTATTGATTTTACAATGATGTGTGTTTTTTTATTTTTTTTTTATTTTTTTTATTTTTTTTTTTATTTTTTTTTTTTGTGTCTGTCATCACGTTTTAGGACAGTAAAAGTGCTTGGATTTTCTTCATCAGTAGCTTTTCTGATAGGAAAGTGAATCTAGTTGGTACTTTGGGGGGTCAAAAGTATAAATTTCCCAGTAGTTTTCACAAGCGCCGGGAAAAAACAACATAAAAATTAAGGAAAAACGGGAATTTTTACGCAAAATTGGTTTTCCAAAAATCGATTTTGGTTTTTGGTGTAACTCTGAAACAAATGAACGTATATACATGAAATTTTCACTGGTTGTTTATATTTGCATTTTCTATACACGATAACATTTTCAAAATATTTTGATTTATTTTGAACTGTT